TGAAAGGCGGCTAGTCAAGTGACTAGCAGTACTTCACGGACCATGCACCTCAAGTGGTGCCAATCCGCATGTGAGGAACTTTGCTGTGAATGTTCAGAACAGTATGCAAGCCAGGGCTTCTGCCTGAAAAGTTCTGAGACCTGCATGGACAGGTGACTGGCTCATGTGACCACCCCAGTGGGCTTTCACACAAGGAAAACAAGGGGATGATAAAGGCCCTGCAGGTTCCTCCATCCTTATCTTCACTCCAGCTCATCACTTCGGGAGCATCTTTGCTATGAATTGAGCCTGGAAGGACGGATGACCCAAGCTAATAGTGTATTCCAGAGGCTTACAAGATAGCTGCCTTTCCCACCTCTGCTACAAGCCTGCACCAAGAACTCTGTAATTGGGGTGAATGGCTGTCAGCTTTTTCCACCTAGTTGTCCTGTTAATGGGTAGGTTGATTGCTCAGTTTTCCAAAAGGCTCCTCTATGGCACCATTCCTCTAGCCTGGCAGTCAGTGCAGGAGGCATGGGGCCCACCTTGTTAGAAGCCCTGAGAGAGTAGATACCGAGTGGGTCAGGGAGTAATGCTGGGGGGTGTTTGCTTTTCTGCCCAGGGATTCTGGAGGTGAGACAATCCAGCAGACCTGTGCTGCAAGGTGTCTGGAGGGGGAACCTGCCAGGAATGAGAGCAGCTGTGAAGGCCTCCACTGAGCTAGCTTTGTGCCCCCCCTTGCCTCCCCACCCCCACTCTCTGACAGGATTTTGAGGCACGGCCTGTGGCCTATTTCTCCGAAAGGACAATCCTCCCATCTCCAGTTAGGTGACAAGAGTATAACTCTGAGGAGGACCTTATGTAAGCTGGCTTCCCCTCTCACCTGAAGGGCAATATTGTGGACTCCATTATTCTGGGCCTACTTGTGCAATATTTCTTCTCCAGATGCAGTAACAGCAAAGAGCTCTGGCGTGGTATCTATTGATTGTTTCTTGTCTCTGCCAGGGTAGCATGGGAACAACTTACCTCATAGCAACCTGAGAGGGAGTGTTATCCTATTGGGCGCATGGGCAGGCGAGACCTAGGCTTCAGAGCTAGTTTGGCTCTGAAATACTTTTTGTGGATTTGGGGCAGGGAAATTGAGACTGAAAGTCAACGGGACTTGGAAACGCCGTCTCTGAGGTGCCTGTGGAAGATCCCAGTCTAGGCAACTGGCCAGAGTTCACAGGAAATAGAATCTGAGGCTCGATTTCTGAGTCTGGCTGGGCCGGGCCCGAGGGACTTGGGCTTATGGTCAATCTCAACAAGAGCTCCTCACAGAATGAGGTCATAGCCTGGCCCTCTCAAAAGGCAGTTCTTCGCTCTTCTCATGGTGGAGGATGGGAAGGTGAGCCCTGTTTGGCCAAACCTGGACAGACAGATGGAATCACTCGCTGATAGTTCATGAAAAATTGTTCCCCAAGCACTTCCTCCAACTTAATTTATCACCCCCTATACAAAACAAACAGATCGGAATGAGATGGATTTTCCTTTGCGGCAGAGATGATCAAAACTCAAGTCAGGCACCCAAGGTTCCAGAAAACCTGTTTGAGCCACAGATATAAAGAAGGGGGAAAAGGCCTTCCCAGAGTGCATTCGAGAGAGGCCTGGCAGGACACATCCCTGAGTTGAAGGTTGCTATCACATCCCCCCTTGCGCTTCTCTTCTGCAGACTAAATACGCTCAAATCCCTCAGCCTCTCCTCGTAGGTCGTGTGCTCCAGTCCCTCATCAGTTTGGTTGCCCTCCGCTGGACCCTCTCCCGTGCGTCCACACCCTTTCTATACTTGGGGGGAGGGCAGAACTGGACACAATACTCCAGATGTGGCCTCACCAATGCCCAATAAAAGGGAATAATCACTTTCCTCGATCTGCTGGCAGTGCTCTTCCTAATGCAGCCCAACATGCCATTAGTTGCATCTTAAACTGGACCGGTTCTTCAGATAATTAAGCAAACAAATCGGAGTGATTGCAAACTGCAGATAACCGATGAACTCATTGTTTCTGTTACTGGGAGAGCGAAAGCAAACCTTCAGCCCCTTGAAACACCCAGATTTAGTACCTCACATATTTCGTGAGTTGTCTGGTTGTCAGGGCCCAAAGACTGATTTATAATTGTAACGTTTTTTAAATGTTGGCCATCAAAAAGACTTGTCTTGAAGGCATGAATTGTCTTTTTGAGGGTTTTTTTAAGAGTCTGACTGACAAATGTGGGTGCTGATCTGTTCAAATCTGGTGGCACCCAGAGTAAGACCTTTAAAAAGCTCATGTCTGCTCTGTCTTGTAACACTGCTACCAAAGCTGAGCTGATAGAACTTCATTTAAATATGAATGGAGCACTAATCTTACTTTTTAGCTGAATTATTTCTTGCAAAGTTTCCCTTGAAACTGACAGCGTACTTTGCAAATATTTAAAGTGACAGGAGAGTCCTGGAAAAAGATTTAGACGTCGCTTTCACTCCAAGGCTCTGAAATACTACAGGAAATCATAAAAGGGCTTAGTGCATTTTACTATATTCAAAACAAATTCTGGGACTACGAGGTGGAGGCGGAAAGGGCATGGAAACCACAAACAGTGGAAAGACATGGCTGAAAACCGGCCTGAGGTGGAGTGTTTGCATTGCAATTCTGAACAAGCAGTTGGTGCAATATGCAGTTTTCTCCTTTCACTCGGCTGGCAGGACAGCTGTCTCCTGCTGTGCTATAAGGTAGGAGAAAGGGTTGCGGATGTGCGATTACATGGCAGCTCTTCCCACCTTGTGAGGACTGCAAGCATAAACCATAAAGCGTGTTCTGGTCCAGAGTAGGGGCTTGTGATAGTTTCACAGCTCAGCATACTTCACTTCTCCTCAGGCTTTCCGTACCCGCTGGTAGGATTTTTCTTTCAGGGAGTGGCTGACTGACTCAAAATGACTTGTTTTACAGTAGTCGTCTCTGAGCATTGTGCAGCCAGAGGTCAGTTCGCGTCGGCCGATTCTCCGCTGAGACGCATGGGTGTGACTCGCTGCTTATGTTGGCCAGTCCCATGGGTCGCTGAAAGCAATGACAACCTTTCACTGGCACGGGCTGCTCTGTATGATTCTCGGTCAAAACTCAAAATGACTGCTCTTGTTTGACACTTGGAAGAGCCACCGCCAAAGTTCAAGGAACTTGGGCCCAAATTTTCAAAACTGGAGACTGGGGGCCCTGATTTGGGGTATCCAAGGGGTGAAATACTGAGCTGGTGAAAATGTAAATAGGCCCTGGTGAGCAGAAAAACCTGTGTCACAGATTACTTGCTACTGGGCGGCCGTTTACCTCTACAGCCTGGTGCATTGCATTTCAGGGAAGGGAGTGGGGGGGAGGTAAACTGTGGCTCCCGCCTCTTCTCCCCCCCCCCCCCCCCCCCAAGGATGACTTGTTAAGCATCACACATCTCTCTTGACACTCCTGCGGTTGGCAGGTCTGTTGTAGTAGCCTGCTTTTCTGGGAAAAGGGAAGGTACGTTTGACCATGGGGGAGGACTGCATTACACTCTGACCTGTAGCCCAGGGGATATTCAGTAAGCCTCCAGCCAGGAGTCGAAGCACATTAGTCCCAGCTCCTATGATGATTGCATCTGTCCGCAAGGCTTCCTAAGTAAGGCCTTCACCCCGACGGAAGAGTCGGCGTTCCTTCCCCTGCTGCTATAGCTACGGAGAAGCCACAGGTTGTGTTCAGCAGCACTGGGACTAGAACCTGACTCTAACAAGACAGTCAGGTCTGGGCCTTGCTGTGTCACGTGGCTCTGAAGAAGGTGTGGGCCACGACATGTGCTTGGCTGAGTTCTGTGACACTCCTTCCCCTCCCTCCCGCTGGCTCCCCGGTTTCTGTGTAAGCCACTGGCAAGGTGTATGACACTGTGATCCCTCTGGGGGCTTGTCCACATCCCGTTCCTAGAGAACTTTGGCTCCCGCATGGCTAGGGCAACTTTGGCTCTGGGCAACTAGGGTGGTCTCAGCAGAGCAAGGGTTGACATTTATAAGTGTCTTATTGTGCGCTCCCTCCCCTCTGTCAAAACTCAGGCTGGAAGGTGGTTGGAAGAGAAAGTATGTGGGGGGGAGGGGCATGTTTTCTTTGGTTTAGTGCTGAGAACTTGAATCTGAAAACTTTTTCCTTTTGAAATCAGGCTTTGGTTGGCCTGTGCCAGAGCAAGATTTGTGTAAAAACTCAGTACATCTTTGCGTAAATGCAGCATTTGATTCAAGGTTACTTCACTGGTTTTTAGGCACAGAGCTCGTGACAGTGCGAGTTGAATGTTTTCTGTGGTGTTGCACTTGTGAGCAACCCGTGTGGCTATAATATGTAGACAGTCGCTGGAGAGAGAGAGAGAGAGAGAGAGAGAGAGAGAGATCTATATGTGTGTGGTGGCTTGAAAGACTCACTATTGAAACAAATGACAGGACTATGTAGCACTTTAAAGACTAACAAGATGGTTTATTAGGTGATGAGCTTTTCGTCTATTACAAAGATAGTCTCCCCAATTATCACTCCTATTGTCATTACCTCACAAACTTACCTTTCCCCATCACCCCCACTCTGTTCTAAAATTTGATTTGTCAATTTCACATGCGTTCATTTTTTTTATTGTATCACTTTGATATATATGGTTGTGCTGATTTTCTTCCACATATTGATCTGAGGAAGTGGGTCTGGCCCACGAAAGCTCATCACCTAATAAACCATCTTGTTAGTCTTTAAAGTGCTACATAGTCTTGTTTTTTGTTTCAGCTAGACCAGACTAACACGGCTGCATCTCTATCACAATTGAAACAAATGATTGTGTTGTGGCTTAGCTGTAATGTGCATTATGGGAAATGGAGTTGACTCCATGTTGTGATATAGATTTTGTCTTGAGCAAATCATTTAGGCTGAGATTCTCAAAGGTATTCTGGCATCTAATTTGCACTGAAATACTTTCAAGGATCTGGATCTCAATCTCCTACTTTTGTTTCCATCTCACAGGGGCATCTGTGATGATAAATGTGACTCCTTTGTGATGAAACAGGCACGGTGGCAGTGGGCATCAAAAACAAATGGGAATTAAAAATGAACACACAACAGGTGAGTGGTTGGTTATAGTGCATTATGACGCAACTCTTTTGTTGGTTCAGTATTTCACCTTGACTCTTGCTGCTTCTTGCTTGCATTTGATAGTTGGCAGTGGCTGAATGATTCACAAAGATAATCTTTAAAGACAAATGTAGCCTTTCTGTTAGTCAAACTAGCTGCCTTTTGAAGGGTAACTTTCAAATGCGTTTGCTATTCAGAACTGTTTTGCGTGAACAAATTTCAGTTCACAAAGCAAGAGAATTTCTTGGAACGCTTGATATTCATGACTCAATATTGGAGGTATGTGATTGGTGACTTAAATCACATGGCATTCTTCTGTTTTCTCATGGGATGACCCAGGCAAAAACCAAGTTTTTTGTAATTTTGTTTCATCATTATATTTATTTAGTTTCATGATGAAATAAATATTGGCTAAAGGGCCCCACATTTGCTTTCCATGAATAGTAACGTGAATAAACATTCATGAAAAGTCCACACCGATGGATGTTTGAGTATTTATTCTCACCATTTGCCCAGATCGTTACAATCGATTTTTTTAAACTGCTATGTCCTACAAATGAGCTTGACTTCATTATTCTGTGTACTTGAGCAAAAACAAGGAGCCCAGAACATCAGGAAAAAAATAGCAAAGCCGGTTGCTGATCATTTGATTTTTAAAATCTTTTCCCACTGCAGAATACAGAATCGTCCATTCAGCTTCTGGGAGCCCTGGATTGGGCACTGTGTCCATGCGTAACTAGATAAAGTAACATTGGATGACAGTCTTAGCAGAGAGGACACGTTTGAAGCCATGCATCAGTGAAGCATTTAAGCACATGGTTAATCGCTACAATATGTGCTTACTTCTAACTGAAGTCAAGCATAAGCTTGGTTGTTTGGCTGACTCGTGGCCTGGATGTGCACAGAGAATGAATTACCAAGATGTGTTCCCCGAAGGTCAGGGTTCATGCATTTAGGAAAACCTGGCTGCTTAGCTGTGCCCTGCTGTGTTTTCCTCAGAGAAGGCTCACAGTTTATCTAGCCATGCCCGGCTCATCAAAGCTCCAGGCTGACGTTTTGCTTCATTAAGATTTGGGCTCAACTTATCTTTGCGCATCATTAGCAGAGCAGTTGTGAAAGGAAGGGCACCCATGGAGATGTGAATTGTGTGGGTTACAAGGACATTAAGACCAAACACACCCACTGAAAATCTGCCCACTTCACTGTTGCATGATCTTTCTTAAATACATCTTAGTGAATTGTACCAGACACTCAGATGGAGATGTGGTTTACTTTTAGGGCAAGAAAGACTTTTTAATAGTTTTAATTTGTTTTATTCCATGCGCCTGGAAACATTTAGGATGACACTTTTAAAACCTACCAAGAAAATAATGCATTTGATGCACGTGTGTGTTTTCCACCCAGTGTGCTGAAACACTTCCCTGTGAAGCAAGTTTAAGTGGACTCATTTTGTTTCTGCTTTAAATACTTTTCAATATCACAGAATTATAGTAGAATATCCCTTTCTGACTTTTCAGGGGCACTCTGTATTCTGTTTCCAACACAGTCTGTTTGCTCTTTGCAAAGATGAATTGATACTTTGCCTTTATTAGAGACCCTCCAATCTAAAATTCCCTCAAGCACCTGTGTTGTTTCCAGATGCTTCGATCCAGATGCTCTCAAATAGGCACAGTCAATGGGGGACATGGTTAATTTAGCACAGAGAGGGCATAAAACCAGTCACTTCTGATGAATACTCCTGGTTTTCAATTGAAGGTGAGCATTTCTTAATGGCATTCCAATTAGGGACTGTTTGTTCTTAAGCACATTATTTATGGCCTGGAATTTGGATCCTTTGCTTCAGAGTCTCTAGCACCAACATGTTTTGCGGACAGTCTTTGAGTGATGTTGACAAGGCGGCCTGTCCCTGGTCAGGTAGCTCTATCTAAGGTCTGTTGTTTGTTATGTTGGTGTTGAAGTGAGTGGGAAGACTGAGTGGGTAAGCAATGCTAGCAACCCCTCTCCCCCCTTTCCAAGTCACACCTCTTTGGTTCCTCAAGGTTCTAGCTAAACAGGAGCCCTGAGAAGGAGAATGGCCCAGTGGTTAGGGCACTGATCTAGGAGCTGGATTCAAGTCACTGCTCTATCCCTGACTTCCTGTGGAACCTTGGGCAAGTCATTTAGCCTGCACATGCCTCAGTTTCTGTAAAATGGGATAATTACTTTGCTACCTTGCAGGGGTTTGCATTTAAAGATTGTAAATGCCAAGAGACTATCATGATGCAGGCCCCCTGAGTAGATAACACAAATTGGGCTAGAAAGGCGCTAGTGTTGGGATAGGATATATGGATGGAGGGATGATCATTCCGAAGCCAAACTCGGTGACTTGGCTGTAATTTCCCTACGTACCTTTTTATTTTATAGCTAGGTGTTCAGTAGAGCTGGCTGAAATTTGATGAAAAATCTTTTATTTAGCAACGCAACAAAATTTTTGAGAAAATTTTGCAGCATTTTTCTGGCTGAAATTTGATGAAAAATCTTTTATTTAGCAATGCAAAAAAAGTTTTGAGAAAATTTTGCAGCATTTTTAAATTTTTAACAGTTTGGAATGATTATTTTTATTTTTTTAAATGAAATTCAGCCTGATAGAGGGGAAAAAATAGGGGTTTTTTGCCCCTTTTTATCATTTCATGTAGAGAAAAAAGTCTAAGAGAAAGAGAGTGGGGGTTTTTTTCCACCCAATTGAATTGAAACCCAACTTGACAGAGAATTCTGAAAAAAAAAAAATTTTTTTAAAGGGACAACTCTGGCAAAAAGTAATTAAATTTGTTTTATTTTTTGTGAAATAAACTTTTTTTATACCAGCTTGAAGTGTAATAATGAGGACCAACATGACACCTGATAATAGAGGCTAATAGTTACTTTGGAATTTTTGGAGCTGCCTGTTTTCTTTTTCTGTGCGCTGGGTGCGCATATAGTAATTTAGGGTCTCAATATGACTTTTGCAAAGGCCATTAGCTACTGTGAGCTGATACCGATTTGGATACTTTGCGACAGATTTGCTGACCCACGCCGCTATCAGAACAGCTTAGTTTTGGGAGCAGCCCTCTATCTGAAGCGTGCACATTTCGTGAAGATTTCAGAGGTCAGCTAGGTAGTCCATTGCTCTGGCAGTTATCAGACCAAGTTTACCTACTGATTTGTTTTGTGACCCTGGGCAATTCACTTCTCTGTGGTGTGTTCTGTTGTAATCTCTTTGGGTCAGGGACTTCCTCCCGCTATGTGCAGCCCCTAGCACAAAGGAGATTTGATCTAATGGGAACCTCTTGGTACTACCATCCTATATGTCATCCATAGTACTAAACGTGCTCATTCTTAGAGAAACACAAATAGTCCTGTGGCACCTTAGAGACTAACAAATATGATATTGTGAGCTTTCATGGGTAAAACCCACTTCTTCCAATGTTGTTCAACTCATTGTTTTTAAAGATACAGACTAACACAGCTGCCCCTCTGAGAATTCGCAGAGAAAGTAATTCACAATTCAGTGGCTTAATATTTTATTTAATAAAGTCTTTAACTTTTATTAAAGTTGCGCCAAAGATGTGATTTACTAGTGTAAACCCTGAAGAGGACACTCTAAAACTGATTTAAATTTGGCTTGTATCTATTCAGCTTCAGTCAGTGAATAACCAAGTGTAAGGCAGATTGAAATCAATTAAACATAGAAGGTTGCGCTGCTTTAATTGATTCCAAGATGGGAAGACACCACTGAGATAATCTAATCTGACATACATGCATGAAACAAGACACAGAATTTCACCCTACTACTGCTGTAGTAAGTCCTATAATTTGTGAAACTGGTGTGGCAGTTTAAATGCAGAGAGGGTGAAAGTAAACAGATCAAGAATGACATGTCCTTTTTGCTTAAGTGTTGAACTTTGAAATCACAAGCAAATCAAATCCCTCCAAAAGCTGTGGGACATCTTTATTTTTAGTGGCAAGAGAAGCAGTATACAGAGCGACATTGCAGTCTCTTAGCTCATTAAAAATATCTCAATAAATAAAACAAATAAGCAACATATACACTGGAACAGAAAATGGGGAAGAGCTTTAGCTGTAGCAAATCATGGAGCAAATGGAGGGGTGTCTGGAGAACAGAATGTGTAATCCAGACTGTACTTGACACAACTCATGCAGGATTTGGGGAGACCATCGTGTTGTTTTTTCTGAGCACCTTGGTCTAGTTCTGTTGTTACTGTACAAGAAAATCATTTTGAGTTAAAAATCTACATTAAAAAAAAAATCCAGCAAAGGGAAGAGAGAAGTCCAACCCAAAGATTTCTCATAAATGTATTCCTGAATTAAGATGTTCAGAAAAAAAAAACCACACCTACAAACAGAGCCCCAAGGGCACTAAACAGTCAGTGTCGCTTGTTTCTCTCTTCTTGCCTTTTGGGTCAGTCTCTTGGGGAGAGATGTCAGCCCCTTTGCTTTGGCGCTGTGTTGCCCCTCAAAGTGCTCTGCAAGAGCCCAGAGCTAGGGAAGGCTAGAGGGGTCTTTTCGACCAGTTTACTTGAGGTTGTTGAGGTTTCAGAAGCTACAAACTTCTCAAGTCCACTTCAGTCTCAGACACTGGACAATCTAGAATAGAAGAAGGGGGGGGAAACATGTCAGCCTGGACATCTTCCTAAGCATGTTCTCTGATGAGCCCTTTTCTCCGACAAATCAAGGCAAAGATTCAGGAAAGCACTTGCTTAACGCAGAGCTGATGCCCAGGCGGTATTTACTCCCCTCTCCACCCATCCACAGTCTTTTGGGCCTCCGTGCATCTTAAGAACAAGTCCACTGATTTCTATGGAGGCTTACGGTTAAGTGCTGAGCAGAGCAGCTCCTGTCAACCTGCACACACGCCTTGGGAAGCAGTCTCCACGACAGAGGCTTCCAGAGTCCAGGGAGAAGAACATTAGGGTTAGTTGAGAATTGCTCACCTTCGTGAGGACCCACCCAAGACCTGACGCGGCAGAAATCGAGGCAGTAATGAATGGCGTAGTGAATGTCACTCCGACACCCCGCCCAGAGCCACCCAGCGACATGAAAGAACGGCTCTTTCAGCTAGCAAACGGCTGGCCTTGTGGCAAACACACACGTTTACTCCCCACCTTGGGGGGACAGCCGTTTGGGTGCACGCGTCAAGCTTTCATGCTTTTAAAAAAGCAGTCCACTGACTTTCTGCACCACAGCAGGCTGCCCATCTTAACCTGTTATTCTACAGCTTCTCCATAGTCTATTGTTATGAGGCAGTGCAAGGGTTAAATCCCAGAGGTGGGATCATGGGCAAACACACACGTTTACTCCCCACCTTGGGGGGACAGCCGTTTGGGTGCACGCGTCAAGCTTTCATGCTTTTAAAAAAGCAGTCCACTGACTTTCTGCACCACAGCAGGCTGCCCATCTTAACCTGTTATTCTACAGCTTCTCCATAGTCTATTGTTATGAGGCAGTGCAAGGGTTAAATCCCAGAGGTGGGATCATGC